GCATCTAAAACAAACCTTACAAGACATTTTAATGTTTACTAAATACAAAAATGTTATTCCTGTGAATAACATTCAAGTTTTAATTTAATAAACAAGTTTTCTTCTAAATGGCTTTACTATCTCCTTCTACACCTGCATCAACAGTCCTTTTATTTTTTTAATCAGCCCAGGGATTCCTTTCTCTAGCAATTGATAAGAAGGAAAATTTGAAGTTTCAAGGCTACAAACAGGATTTCATTTGCTATGTTTAAATCATAAATATCATGTCTACCTCTTAGAGTACTGAGGATTAAATACATTAACACATAAAAGGGCATACAGTAACTGTAAAATGCAGAGAGAAGCTGTAGAGATGGAATTTATCATGAGAAGAAAAGAAAACCCATTTGAGGAATTCATGCGGGATAGTACCAAGATTACACCTGCATTTTAGAAAGATCTTTCTGGATAAATAAGCGAAAGCCTAGGCCTGGAAGTGGGAGGTTGAGATGCCTGAACCAAGGTAGTGGCAATGGGCTGGACTGAAGTGTTTAGGAAAGAATCCATAGGACCAATGATTAGACATGAGGGATGAGAGAGGAGGTAGTTAAGCACCAGAATCATGGAGACTGCCACTAAGTGCTTCAGTTCTCTCTCCTTCCTGGCACAACATTCACCCCTTTGAAGTTGGTTGGGACTGTGTAGCTTGTTCAGGTCAATAAAAAGTGAGACTGCTTCCAGGCAGAAGCTTCAAAAGTCAGTGTGCAATTCATTATGACACAGTAACCAAATGCAAGATGGTGACTTTGTCAGCTAGATCCCAGAATAAAAATGACATAAAACCAGGGTCCCGCTCACCCTGTAACTCCTTTCCCCAAATCAAGTATGACCTGGATTGATGTTAAGCTGACTATAACTTTTGCTGTTTAACCCACTTAGATTTGGGGTTGTTATTGTGGCATATTTTAGCTTATCCTGACTAATCCAGAAAGAAGGCAACCATGGTCATCCTTGATATGTGTCCAGATAAGAATAGTGCTTAGAAATACACACAAACCAGCCAGGCGCAGTTGCTCACACCTATAATCCCAGCACTTTTGGAAGGTGGAGGAGAGAGGATTGCCTGAGTCTGTGGTTTTGAGACCAGCCTGGGCCATACAATGAAACTTCATCTCTACAATGAATAAAAAAAATTAGCTGGATGTGGTGGTGCCTGCTTGTAGTTCCAGCCACTTGGAAGGCTGAGGCAGAAGGATCGCCTGAGCCCAGCAGGTTGAGACTGCCATGGCCATAAGCAGCGTGCCACTGCACTTTAGCCTGGGTATCAGGGTGAGACCCCGACTCAAAAAAAAAAAAAAAAAGAAATACACAAAAACGGTAAGATTAGAGATTCATCTTAACGGGCAGCAAAACATGGAGATACAAGATCACATTTTAAAAAAAAATTTTAAAGGTTTTACTATATCCCAAGAGAAATGATGGGTGTGTTTTTAAGAAGGAAGAATTTAAATGTGTACTTGAGAAACTATATTTCTCATGGCTTATGAACTAATACGATTAAAGGTTATATGCATCTTTTCTGTTTTGAGAATTCAAAAGTAGAGTCTTAGTTTGCTTATCCCTTTTTCAGCAGACATGGGAGAAAAAAAATAATGGTTAAGAGAAGATAAAAAACAAAGGAAAGTTCCTTTCCTTCTTCCATATTTTCACCTTTTACAATCAGATCCAACTACATCCACCACTACGAATAATAGCTAACACTTACTGAATAGTGACTATGAGCCTGGCAAAATACCTGATGCTGTCACGGAATTAGATTACCTAAGCTTCATAACTGCTTCATTTTACAGATGAGGATACATAGAGTAGGCCACACAGCACAGACTAATCAAGGACTGTTTATTTCCAAAGTCTGGGCCTCCGTGACCACTATATCTAACTTCCTTCTTGAGGGAAGTCCAGATAAATTTCTTTTATCATGGATATTGAGAAAATGAGTTCTAACTGGATTTTTTTTAAAAGATAATTTTAAAGATAGGAAAGACGTAAAAAAACAAGAGTAATATGCCTGAAAAGGGGGTAGCTGTGGTCAGCTGGATGGGTATGACATAGAGAGGGTGGAGGCAGAATGAAGTTCTCCAAGGCAGAAGGGAAAGACAGACTAAAACCAGTATCAGCCTAAACTAAGCTTTCTTTCTCTCACATATCCTGGGTTAATTCAGTTAACTGTTTTGGTTGAAAGGGCTACTTCTGGAAGCAGACAGTTCAGAACAACAGAAATAAACAAGATGTAACAGTCCATATCTAGTGACTTCACAACTCACTCTGCTTGTGGTTACTAGTAAGAACTTTAGGCTGGGCTCGGTGGGTCAGCCTGTAAGCCCAGCACTTTGGGAGGCCGAGGCAAGTGGATTGCCTGAGCCCGTGGGTTTGAGACCCACCTGGGCAACTTGGTGAGACTTCATCTCTATAATAAATCAAAAATTACCCAGGCGTGGTAGCACGCACCTGTAGTTCTGGCTACGTGAAAGGCTGAGGCAGAAGGATTGCTGGAGCCCAGCAGGTCGAGGCTGTGGTAGCTGGGAGCATGCCACTGCACTGCACTCCAGTCTGAATGACAGAGTGAGATCCCAACTCAAAAAGAAAAAGAACTTTACAGTTAAGATGCACCATATCAGCCGATCCTGGGTTCAAACCTCAGCTCTGCCACTTGGTAGCTGGGTGACTCTAAACAAGTTCCTGGATGGTTGAGCCTCCATTTCTTTCTTGGTATAATAGTGACGATAATACCTACTTCAAGAGACCATTTTTCTCTTTTTCATTTCTCTTGACCCCACAATGCCAAATCAAGTCCCTTGTCAAGCATAGTTTTAACTAAAATGATTACATTAGGTAATTTCCAAGTACAAAGTACAATATCTTACTTACATATTTAATAGTAATACAGACATTATCAAAAGAAAAGCCTACCTATTTTCAATCAATAGATATATAATAAGAACTTACTATATGCCCATGACTACACTAGGTATTAAATATGCAATACAATGAAGAAATAAAGAGGGCCATGGTTGAGACCCTACATCAGGCCATAGTTCAAAGTTTGACTCTACCATTTATTAACTACCTAAGTGACCTTGGGTGATAACAGAAACGACAAAAAAGCCAACATGTGAGTGTTAAACCGGCCTCTGTTGGATATATTCATCTCCTGTAATCTTCTCAATAATCCTAGTAGGTCCCACTACTTTTACCATTTTTACAAATAAGAAACTAAAGCACAGAGAAAGTAAACAACTTGACCAAGGTCATCAGATCCTAAGCAGACAGCAGGACTCCAAAGTGCCAGCACTGTGCTCCTAACTAGTAGACAACAGTCTATAGTATGTGCATAATCACCTTCTACAGGGCTGCTTTAAGCATCAGAAATAATATGTGGCAAGAGCCCAGAAGAGTAGTTAGTACACAGTAGGTAGACAAGAAAAGGCTCAAGGATACAAGTCATACTGAAGGAAAAAGTAAACTTACAGAATGAATCTACACAAGTTCCTTAGTCCAATCTTCTTTCAAAGTCTTAGAACAGATAATTTATTGTTACCCAAGATTGGGTCAAAGTTCGTGTGCATATATTTTATACTATAGAAGAAGGTTGCGAAAAGGTAGGAACGTAAGGCTGAGACCATACTTAACTACTACAGTAAACACTGAACTATCTCTACAGAAAGCCTCTTATTTCCACTGTCTCCACCAAACATTATTCTATTGTCATTGTTGCTGTTGGTTAGAATCAACAAGAGACTTGCAAAAGGCATTTAAAAAGAAATGAAAAATATCTAAATTTCATCACAAAGAGGTAGGCTGTTTTAAATTATTCCTAATTCAAAACAAAATGAGAAAGTTTCCGGAGACTAACAATGACTTACTTTTTAAACAAAACAATGTATAAGAATCACAAACAAATATACAATACATCAATTCCTTTGGTTTTATATGCTAACTCTTTTTACTCCAATACACAGTTTTCTTTAAATCTAGCTGAAGGCTTGAATTCCTGGGAATCTCTATAAGAGCTCTTTGCAGTTTCGAATCAATGAATTTGAGGAACACAGTAATCTAATTTATAATTTAACCCTTTCACTTTAGAATAGAGGAAATGTAGTCAGATAGGGTTAATTTGTTCCAAAATCACATAAGTTTGTAAAGATTAGATTACTTTCTTCCAAACAGACAGTCTCTCTAGTAGTGTTTCTATCCTAAATCAGGGGCTCAGAGATGCATACTAGCTACAGAAACCTAAGTAGAAGAAGCAGAACATATGAATACAAGGGCAGAAAAGAGTCTATAAAGGTGCTGATATGGAAGAGAAATATATGCTCATTGACAAAAGGATTATCTGTTCTATTCTGCTTTATTCACTACACTTTGATTTCAAAATGAAGTTCCTCCAAAGAAAAACAGGAGACTTTTCTAAAGTCCTTTACATCGTATTTAAAGCAAATTACTTGAAGAAGAAATGGCCTATTATAAATTTAGGAAAACTCCAAAATCTGGAGTCTACTACTATCCTCTGCACTGTTTACTCAAATGTTTCCTTCAACCCCATGCAGCCAAAAACTGGAGTCAAAACCCTGGATGCATTTAGGCAGACAAGACAGAAAGCTAGGAATGCAAAGCCTTCCTCCCTAACTGTTGCCAAAGCTACCACAGAAGTGAGACGACAAACCTTAAAGATGGGTATTTCCATTCATGTCTCGCAACCTCTCCCCCGCTCCACAGTTAAAATGACTTTATTTTTTAATCAAACTCACATCCCGAAAAGGAATAGTTCTTTCTGTACCAGATCTCCTCGGGAGGTTGTTTTATTTAGCATGATAGATTTCCCAGAGTGCGACGAAAGTAATTGCAACTCCCATTGTCAATGTCACTTCTCTGCTGGTATTTATCTGATAGAGCGCCCTCCCAGGGCCTTCACCGCTCAAAAACAGACTTGGAGAGGGACAGGCCAGGGGGTCACCACTTACCGAAAACACTGCATTCTGAAGCCCGAAAGGTATGGGGGTCAATCTGGCCAGCGCCACCACTTTCAGGCCGCTTCCTCCCTCCACCACGCGAATAACGGCGCTCAGCTTCTCGCTGCTTTGGATCCTGGCGGCCACCCAGGCGGTGAGCAGCCGCTTGCAGACCACATGGGCGATGAAGGTGCCGATGAGGACGCCCACCACCATCAGACCCATGCCCAGCACGAAGCCGTACAGGTAACCAGCGGCCACGTTGAGCACGATGTAGCCCCAGCCGCAGGGGAACGAGACCACGATGAAGCCCACGACGAAGAGCAGGACCCCCAGCAGCGAGTCCAGGCTCTCCACCCAGAGCAGGAGGTGCTGGAGGTAGCGGCGGACCAGGGCCAGGGAAGCGAAGCACAGGGCGGCCAGCACGCAGACCAGCACGAGGCTCCGGCACCAACAGGTGCTGCCGAGGCAGCAGCAGCGCCAGTTTCTCACCTCGGCCACGCCGACCCC